ATGGTTTCAAGTCTTGCATTTAGGTCTTTAATTCACTTTGAGTTTTTCTTTTATTTTTTTTAAGTTTATTTATTTGAGAGAGAGAGAGAGCTTGAGAGAGAGAGCAGGAGAGTGGCAGAGAGAGACTCCCAAGCAGACTCAGCACTGTCAGTGCAGAGCTGGGTGCAGGGGTGAATCTCACGAACTGTGAGATCATGACCTGAGCCAAAATCAAGAGCCACTTGCGCAATCAACTGAGCTACCCAGGCGCCCAAGTTTATTTTTCTATGTGGTGTATGAAAATGTTCCAATATCATTCTTTGCATTTTTTGCATATATGCATTCTTTTTCATATGTATTCCTATCACCATTTATTGAAGACTAACTCCCCCCTCCCATGGTATTTTCTTTTCTTAAACGTTTATTTATTTTTGAGAGACACAGAGAGAGCGATAGGAGGGAAGGGGCAGAGAGAGAGGGAGACACAGAATCCAAAGCAGGCTCCAGGCTCCAGGCTCCGAGCTGTCAGCACAGAGCTCGACATGCGGCTCGAACTCAAGAACCACGAAATCATGACCTGAGCTGAAGTCAGACACTTAACTGACTGAGACACCCAAGTGCCCCTCCCCTATAATATTTTCTTGCCTCTTTTGTTATAGATTAAATGACCATATAAATGTGGGTTTATTTCTGGGCATTCTATTCTGTTCATTGGTTTATGTGTTTGTTTTTATTCTAGTACCATGCCATTTTGACTACTATAGTTTTGTAGTATAGTTTGAAGTCTGGGAGTGTGATGCCTTCATCTTTGTTTTATTTTCTCATGATTGATTTGTTGATTCAGGGTGTTTTTTGGTTCCATGCAAATTTTAGGATTATTCTAGTTCTGTGAAAATGCTATTTGCATTTTGATAGGCATTGCATTGGATTTGTAGACAGCTTTGGATAGTATGGGTATTTTAATAATATTAATTATTTTATGCTAATCCATACCATGGTATATCTTTCCATTTATTTGTATTGTTTTCAATTTCTTTCATCAGTGCTTTATAATTTTCGGAACAAGGTCTTTCACCTCCTTGGTTAAGTTTATTCCTAGGTATTTTATTGTTTTTGGTGCAATTTTAAGTGTGATTGTTTTCTTTTTAAAAAATTTTTAATATTTTTATTTATTTTTGAGAGAGAGAGTGAGTGAAAGAGAGAGAGGGCAGGGGAGGGGCAGAAAGAGAGGGAGACACAGAATCCGAAGCAGGCTCAAGGCTCTGAGCTGTTAGCATAGAGCCCAACACAAGGCTCAAACTCACAGACCACGAGGTCATAACCTGAGCTGAAGTCAGATGCCCAATCAACTGAGCCACCCAGGTGCCCTAGTGTGATTGTCTTCTTAATTTCCCTGTCTGCTACTTCATTGTAAGTGTATAGCAATGCAACGAATTTCTACATGTTAATTTTATATTTTGCAGCTTTACTCATTTCAGTTATTAGTTCTAGTAGATTTTTGGTGGAGTCTTGGTTTTGCTTTATATGATGTCATGTCATCGGCAAATACTGACAGTTTAACTCCTTCCTTACCAATTTGGGTGCCTTTTCTTTTTCTTTGTCTGATTACTCCAGCTAGGACCTCCAGCACTATAGTGAATAAAGGTTAGGAGAATGGACGTCTTTGTCTTGTCCTCAGTCTGAAAGAAAAAACTCTGTTTTTCAGTATTGAGGATGATGTTAGCTGTAGGTTTGTCACATATGGCCTTTATTATGTTGAGGTATGTTCCCTCTCAATTCCCTTTGTTGAGAGCTTTTAGCATGAATGGATATTGTATTTTGTCAAATACTCTTTGGCATTTGTTGAGATGTTATGACTTTTATCCTTTCTCTTGTTAATGTGATGTATCATGCCAATTGATTTGCAAATATTGGACACTCTTGCATTGCTGAAATAAGTCCTACCTGGTTGTGGTAAATGATTCTTTTTAATGTATTGTTGAATTCAGTTTGCTGATATTTTGTTGAGGGTTTTTTCACCTGTAGTCTTTATTTTAAAGCCTACATTGTGGGGTGTCTAGGTGGCTCAGTTGGTTAAGTGTCTGACTTTGGCTCAGGTCATGATCTCATGGCTCATGGTTCGAGTTCCATGTCGGGCTCTGTGCTGACAGCTCAGAGCTTGGAGCCTGCTTCAGATTCTCTGTCTCCCTTGCTCTATGCCTCTTCCCTGCTTGAGCTCTCTCTCAAAAAGTAAATACACATTAAAAAATGTTTTTAAGAAAATAATACCTATTTTGTCTGTTATAAATATTGCTACCTGGTGCTTTTTTCCCCTTCCATTTGCATGGTATATGTTTTCCAGTCCTTCACTCTCAGTCTGCATGTGTCTTTAGGTCTGAAATTAGTCTCTTGTAGGCACCATATAGACGGGTTTTTGTTTGTTTTGTTTTCTTTATCCATTCAGTCACCATATGCCTTTTGAGTGGAGCCTTAAGTCCATTTACATATTGAGTGGAGTCTTAAGTCCATTTACATATAAAGCAGTTATTGGTATGTATGTTTTTTTGCCATTTTGTTATTATGTGTCAGCTATACTCAAAGAAAAACATTAAAAATAAGTTGCAATCTGTACTCTAATAGTCTCTTTTGGTGGAGAGAACTGCTATGTAACTGAATTCCAGTTGCCTGAAGTAAGTGAATTCAGTGGGGTAAAAGATGAGAAATTGTTGGTCGTAGCTCCTGCCTGCTTAGAAATACGTACCTAATGAGTAATTAAGGCATACTTTTCTTTTAAGCTTATTTGTTTGTTTGTTTATTTAGAGTGACAGAATGGGGGGAGGAGCAGAGAGAGACAGAGATAATCCCAAGCAGGCTCCACCCTGTCACCACAGAGCCCTACTTGGGCTCCAGCTCACACACCATGAGGTCATGACCTGAGCCAAAATCAAGAGTCCGATGCTCAACTGACTGAGCCACGCAGGCGCCCCAAAGCACACTTTGGAAGTGAGAAGCAAGAGCTTTCCCCCAGTGCTGTCGATATATTTTAGAAGAGTTACTTAATATTAACATTCAGGGCTATCAAGTGAATCTGAATGGTACTCAGGTGGTATAAATGGGAAAAACATAATACATCATGCCGATTGCTATACAAGCATCACCAACTAATTCCTTATAAGACCTTGTTAATGGTGGGGCGCCTGGGTGGCTTAGTCGGTTAAGCGTCCGACTTTCGCTTAGGTCATGATCTCGCGGTTCGTGGGTTTAAGTCCCGCGTCGGGCTCTGTGCTGACTGCCAGCTCAGAGCCTGGAGCCTGTTTCAGAATCTGTATCTCCCTCTCTCTCTGACCCTCCCCTGCTCACGCTGTCTCTCTCTCTCTCCTAGAAATAAATAAAAATATTTAAAAAAAAAAAGACCTTGTTAATGGATAATCTAGGGTCTCTTTTAAGAAAGAGCAGTCAATATCCCTTCAGTGTTGTGCTGCTTATAAACCTATAAAAATTACAGTCTTCTACCCCATGAGTGTTAAACCAAAAATGATCCCTAAGAGAATTAATAGATGCAAAATTAATCCTTACTTTCAGTGAAATCCTGAAATTAAGTTAAAGCAAAGCAAAACAACAAAAACAAAACACTTGGTTTTAGCTTGTTGAACGTAAAAACAAAGATGAGAAAATTAGTTCTCTTTTACAACATGGGTTCCCAAAGTTCAAAGGAGATGTGAATTTATTAATAATAGATACTGAGTCAACTTGCTCTTTTGTTTTAATAATTTATTTTATAGAAGTTTGTCCCAGGTTGGACTGTCTCTTTTATCCAGTGAGCATTTTAGTCACCTCTCCTCACAGTTAATTCAGAGAGCTCAAGGAACATAGAATTGGAGCATGGGCTCCAAGACAATAGGTTTAGAAGTAGGTAAGGGGCACCTGGGGGTCTCAGTTGGTTAAATGTCTGATTCTTGATTTTGGCTCAGGTCATGATCTCAGGGTTTGTGAGATCAAGCCCTGTGTCTGGCTGCTTGCTGACAGTGTGGAGCCTGCTTGAGATTGTCTCTCTGCTCCTCCCCTACGTGTTTGTTCTCTCTCTCTCAAAATAAATAAACTTAAAAAAGAAAGAAGTAGGTAAAATGTTTTAAGAAAGTCACATTATAAATTTTTAAATAAAGGGGATCCTGGGAGGCTCAGTCGGTTAAGTGTCCGACTTCAGCTCAGGTCATGATCTCATAGTCCATGGGTTCAAGCCCCATGTTGGGCTCTGTGCTGACAGCTCAGAGCCTGGAGCCTGCTTCGGATTCTGTGTCTCCCTTTCTCTCTCTGCCCCTTCCCAGTTCATGCTCTGTCTCTGTCTCTCTCTCTCTTTCAAAAATAAATAAGCATTAAAATTGTTTTAAAATAAATTTTAAAATAAAAAGTAAGTTATTTGGGGGTGTCTGCACCATGGTTCTTTTTTGGCATAAGAAGGTAAATATTAATATCTTAGAAGTTATTTTCATTAGAATTTTAAAAATAGCAGGGCACCTGAGTGGCTCAGTCAGTTGAGCAGCCAGTTTCAGCTCTGGTCATGATCTCACAGTTTGTGAGTTCGAGCCCCACATCAGGCTTTGTGCTGACAGCTCAGAGCCTGGATCCTGCTTCAGATTCTGTGTCTCCTCTCTCTGTCTCCCCCGCCCCAACTCATGCTCTCTCTCTGTCTCTCAAAATAAATGAATAAATGTTAAAAAAATTTTTTTAAATAGGCAAATACTTCTTCTCCTTCAAGTATCCTTTGAGAACCAGAAACAAGATGATAATTAAAAATATACACTGTATAGCAAACAAATTTTGAAGAAAATCTAACTTAATAGGAAATGGTTTTGATTAATTTAACAAAAGGATGGCTTTCTTTTTAATTATCAACTCTTTATTATTTGGCATTTATAGACATAAAGTATATATTTAACCGAATATCCTATAAGACTCTCGGGAAGTATTCCAAGTGCAAAATTATGATTATAAAGTAAAAAAAAATCAAAATACATCAAAGAGGCATGTGATTCAGTGTCAAATTTATAATCACTTATCTAATATGTCACAATCCTTTTGTTCCAAAAAACATTCACATAAGAACTGTAAAGTGGGCCATTATTTGCCAAAAGAATAAATGGTTTTCATTATGTGGAACATGGAAAGAGACGCAATGCAAGATAAAGATTCTTCAGAACTTCATTATGGAATTCCTAGTAAGACAACAGAACCTGAGGCCATGAGGACCTGTCCAAGTAGAATATTTACGTTAAATATGCCTTTACTGCTTGCCCGGTAGAGGTGATCTGTCAGCCACTGTTGGTAGAAGGATGGCCCACAATAGACACCAGGAAAATTTTTCCGACCACAGCCATATCCGTAACTGGTAATTCCCATTACAAAAAATCGTCTGTGTTCTGGTAAGTAGCACATTAATGGTCCACCACTATCACCCTATTAAAAAAGTCCCAAAATAGTGTTAGTTGGTTCTAGTAATCTTTAAACAATAGTAAAGCTGGACTAAATCAATCCCATTAATCATACATTGATATAAATATACATTTTCTTTAAAAATGTTTTTAGTGTTTATTTTTGAGAGAGAGAGAGAGAGAGAGAGAGAGACAGCATGAGTGGGGGAGGAGCAGAGAGTCAAGACGGAGACACAGAATCTGAAGCAGGCTCGAGGATCTGTGCTGACAACACAGAGCCCAACACAGGGCTCAAACCCACAGGTGGTGAGATCATGACCTGAGCTGAAGTCAGATGCTTAACTGACTGAGCCACCCAGGCGCCTCAGTATACATTTTCAGTATATCTTCAAGTTATAAAGAGCCACAGATTTTCAGGTTTACATTCCAACTCGGGCAGAAAGCATTCAGTCTGGCCTGATATTTAGAGGAACCATAAATATTGGTTATAGGTAGATATCCTATTTGCATGGTGTTGAACCATGATACTATAAATCATTTGGCTTTTTTAGTGTAATTACTCAGGAGAAATACAATTTAGGAAGGAGTGTGCAAAATACTATAAGTACTATTAGAATACCTTTATTGCTTAATGCTGTATGTGAAAAGTGTAACTTTAAGATGCATAAAGGATTCTTGAAGTTGTGTGCAAGGTTTGCTAACTGGAAGAGAAGTGTAAACTGGCATCTTGCAGGAGATGGCATCTTTCCAAGTGTTAATGTTGGCTGTTGCCGGGTAACAGGAATAAATGGCTAAGCCTCTCAGTAGTATTACAATAATGAATGTCACAGTTTATACAAGACTGTCAGTGCACCAAAGCACTAAAACTAAGGCCTGTTAATTGTCAAAACAACTAGGACCTTGAGATAACTGGTTCAGTGCCTAAAGATTAAGGAATGTATTTCTAAGATGTTTTCAGTTTCTCTATATAAGGTACGCATTGAATGAATAATTATTTTTTGATAATGAAGATTAAAAAAATTTTCTAATGTTTATTGTATTTCGAAGGAGAGACAGTGTGTGAGCAGGGGAGGGGCAGAGAGAGAGAGGGAGACACAGGATCTGAAGCAGGCTCCAGGCTCTGAGCTATCAGCACAGAGCCCGACCTGGGGCTTGAACTCATGAACTGTGAAATCATGACCTGAGCTGAGGTCGGACACAACCAACTGAGCCACCAGGCTCCCCCATAATGAGGATGTTTTGCTTATGAATGCAATTCAATTAGGTTTAGATTCTCTACTGTTTTACTAGCAAAAATTTTAAGGAAAAGGTTATAGCATGGAGTACTGCTTGGGAGTGAAGTGCTAATAAATTTAGAAGTAGTGAAGAAAAGTAGAATAAAGAAAAACTTAAAAAGCACAGGAGACAAAACCAAAAACCAAGTAAACTGGACTTCATAAAAATAAAAATCTGTGCTACAAATGGTAACATCAGGGAGACGAAGACAGAGACCACAGAATGGGAGAAAATATTTCCTAACCATATGTCTGGCAAGAGACTTGTATCTATAATATATAAAAAGTGCTTATGACTCAATAATAAAAAGATAAATAAGTCAGTTTTAAAATGGGCAAACTAGGGGCGCCTGGGTGGCTTAGTCGGTTAAGTGTCCGACTTTCGCTTAGGTCATGATCCTCACGGTTTGTGGGTTCGAGCCCTGCGTCGGCCTCTGTGCTGACTGCCAGCCCAGAGCCTGGAGCCTGTTTCAGAGTCTGTGACTCCCTCTCTCTCTGACCCTCCCTGCTCACGCTGTCTCTCTCTCTCCTAGAAATAAATAAAAACATTAAAAAAAAAATTAAAAAAATAACTAGATAAAATGGGCAAACTATTTGAATAGACAAATCTTCTCCAAAGAAGATTTACAAATGGCTGGCCAATAAACACATGACAAGATGCTTAACATCATTAGTCACTAGGGAAATGCAAATAAAAACCACATTCACAAATACCCCCCTTCACATCCATTAGGATGGCTGCAGTTAAGAAGACAAACAATACGGGCGCCTGGGTGGTACAGTCGGCTGGATGTCTGACTTCGACCTCAGCCCAGGTCATGATCTCCTGGTTTGAGTTGTAGGTCTCTTTGAGCCCAGGTCAGGCTCTGTGCTGACAGCTCAGAGCCTGGAGCCTGATTCAGACTCTGTGTCTCCTTCTCTCTCTGCTCCTCCCCCGCTCATGGTCTGTCTCTCTCAGGAATAAACATTAAAAAATTAAAAAAAAAAAAAAGACAATAAGAAGTGCTGACAGGGATGTGGAGAGATTGGGGCCTTCCTATTGCTGGTGAGAATATAAAATAGTGCAGCCATCTGGAATAGGTTTGGCAGTTCTTCAAAATGCTAAACATTGATCCAATAATTCCAGTCCTACGTGCAGTAAAAACATACTGACACATAAAAAATGTATACACAAATGTGTACAGCAACGTTATTCATAATAGCCAAAAAATCGAAATAGCTCAAATGTCCATCAACTAATGAATGGATAAATTGTGGCATATCCATATGGTAGAATATTATTCGGCAATAAAATGAATAAAATATTAACACATGCTACAATATGGATGAACCTTGGAAACACTACGTTAAATGAAAGAACCCAATCACAAACCATATTGAATGATTCCATTCATACGACATTTCCAGAATAGGCAAATCTACAGGGATTACTGGTTGCCTAGGTCTGAGGGCAGGTGGGTGGAGAATGGGGAGTGAGTTGTAATGGGTAGAGGCTTCTTGGGTTGACAAAAGTGTTCTAAAATTAGATGGAGATTATGGTTGCATTGCTCTGTATATATACTGAAAATCCATTGAATTATACACTTTATTTTTTTACAGTTAATTGTCCAGTTAGTTTCCATATAACACCCAGTGCTCATCCCAACAAGTGCCCTCCTCCATGCCCATCACCCATTTTCCCTTTCCCCCACCTCCATCAGCCCTCAGTTTGTTCTCAGTATTTAAGAGTCTCTTACGGTTTGCCTCCCTCCCTCTCCTTTACTATTTTTTCCCCTTCCCCTCCGTTATGGTCCTCTGTTAAGTTTCACCTGTTCCACATATGAGTGAAAACATATGGTATCTGTCCTTCTCTGCCTGACTTATTTCACCCAGCATAACACCCTGGAGTTCCATCCACGTTGCTACAAATGGCCAGATTTCATTCTTTCTTATTGCCATGTAGTATTCCATTGGAATTATACACTTTAAATGGGTGACTTAGACTTAGATAAATAAGTATCTCAATATAGGTAGTAATAAGAAAAGGAAGATTCAAGACAAATTTTGCCTCAACTTGACCATGAAACCAAGGAAATCAGGAAAGCAATAGGATTTGGATTTTCGGAACGTAGTTAAGAAGGATAAAAAAGAATTTACTACTTTTAATCTTGATAATTAAGACTTTCCCAGAAAGTGATCAAAGGCTTTGCTCAAGTTGCCCTCTCGCTTTAGCAAATATTTCAGGAAAATTATTTGGTCTTACCCGGCAAGTATCAAAAATTCCATCTTCATCACCTGCACAAAATGAAGTGTTAGGAATTATTTGCCCATAACTCTGCTCAGAATCACAAATCTTTCGAGAGATATAATGTACTTCTGCTTCCTGTAACACATCTGTAATATTACCTATTAACAAAAAAATACCAGTAAGCTATTTTGGAGAGCAGGCATTTTGACAGCATATAAAATGTTCATGTTGAATAGGTTTTCTTTCCAAAGTGGTTCAACAATTATGTAAATTGTATCCATATATGCATGTATGCCTAGGAAGATTGTGTGGAAGAATAATTTAATCGTTCATGGTTTAATTCCTTTAAATTACTTTTTGTCTCCATGATTTGCCCATTCTGGACATTTCATCATATAAACGGGATCATACAATATGTGAGCTTTTATGTCCAGCTTATTTCACTTAGTATAATGTAGCATGTACCAACACTTCATTCCTTTTAATGGCTAGATAATACTTCATTGTATGAATATACCACATTTTGTTTATCCATTTATCAGTGAATGGATCTTTAGATTGTTTTGGTTTTTTGCTAATACGAATAATGCTGCTATGAGTTTGAGTACAGCTTTTTGTGTGGACGTGTGTTTTTATTTCTCTTGGGTATACAGGTAGGAGTGGAAGTTCGGAATTACTTGGTAACTGTATTTAAATTTTTGAGAAGCTGCTAAACTATATTCCAAAAAACCTGTACCATTTTATATTGCCCCCCAGCAGTGCATGAGAGTTCCAATTTCTTCACATCCTTGTCAACACCTGTTCCTAACTTTGGATTATAGACATCCTTGTGGGTGTGACATTTATTAACTTTGAAAATTACATTTCCTAACAATTGATAGTGTATAAAAATGAAATACATTTTGGCATTTTGGTTTTATATCTGGACACTTGACTAGACTCTCAATTCTGATGTATTATAGACTCTTTATTAATGCAGATAGTCCCATCATCTGTGAATAATGAGGGTTTTGTTACTACCTAAGTCAGTCATATGTTTTTTGCATCTTTTTCTAGTGTGACTGCACATGCTAGAACCTCTACTACAATATTGATAAAAGTAGTGATGGTGGTGGTGGGGGGAATTGTTCCTGTTTTAAGAGAAATGTTTTTCTGTAATAATGATGTTCGCTGTAGTCTGGAGGTAGATAACCTTAGTATATGTGCTGCCGAAGCGAGCACTGGAGGTAGATAACCTTAATCAGGTTCAGGAAGTTCACTTCTGTGTCTAGATTGTGGTTCAAAAAATTTTTTTTTAATTTATTTATTTTTGAGAGAGAGAGAGAGAGAATAAGCAAAGGAAGGGCAGAAAGAAATGGAGACACAGAATCTGAAGCAGGCTCCAGGCTCTGAGCTGTCAGCACAGAGCCCGATGTGGGGCTCAAACTCCCAAACCACGAGATCATGACCTGAGCCAACGTCGGAGGCTTAACAGACTGAGCCATGCAGGTGCCCTAGACTGTTATATTTTTAACAGAATTTGTTCTGCTCCTGTTGAAATAATCATATTTTTAACAATCCTTTAATCAGTTACTGTGGTGGTTATGTTAAGAGACTTTAACATTAAATCACCTTTACTTAATTACCTTAGATAAATTCATCTTGGTTATACTGAATTCTATTTATATTATTCTTGATAGATTCAGTATGTTTTCAATTTTTTTGGAATGTCTGCCTTTATAATATTGGCCTTTTTTGTACTATACTTACTAATCATAAACTGATTAGTAAAAAGAGAGTGCGTTCCCTCTTTTTGGATTCTTTGAAAGTATTCATATGAGATTTAAACACTCTATCTCTGGTAATTAAGGTAGGGCTCACTTGTTCTGAATTCTGGTGTTTTATTTTTGAAAACAATAATTATTGAATAATCTCCTTTACTCTTTATAGGACTATTCTTAGTTTGGATTACTTTGAATTTTCTAGGAATGTATCCATTTTACCTAAGTATTAAAATTGAGAACATAACATAGCTTAAAGTATTACTTTATCTTTTAATTCATAACATTATTTGTATCTGTGTCTTCTCTACTTTTCTGATCAGTCTCACCAGGGGGGTTGTTTTTTTTTTTTTTTTCAAAGAACTAGATTTTGGCTTTGTTGGTCATCATTTTTCTAACTTTATTTTCCATTCATTGATTGCTGTGCTTACCTCTATTTCTTTTCTTCTGCTTTCTATGGTCATCTAATGTTCTTTTAAACTTTTTTAAGTTGGCTATTTAATGCATGGTGGTTAGCCTTTTTGTCTCTATCAGGTCAGATATTTACTTTTTTATATTTTTGAGCCTAAAGGTATATGTATTTAAAGCTTTGCATTTCCCTTTATGTAGGACCAAAGTTGAGATTCAAGTTTTCTGTGCAGTATATACGTTACAGTTCAAGTCTAAGGATTTAAAGTTATTATGACATAGGAGTTATTTAGTAGTATATTTTGAATGTTCTAAATGTGTGAGTTTTTAAAAAATTATCTTTTTGTCATTCTTTAAAAAAGCTTTATTGGGGCACTGGGGTGGCTCTGTCCTTTAAGCATCTGACTTCAGCTCAGGTCATGATCTCATGGTTTGTGATTCGAGCCCCACATTGGGCTCTCTGCTGACAGCTCAGAGCCTGGAGCCTGCTTCAGATTCTGTGTCTCCCTCTCTCTCTGCCCCTCCCCTGCTCATGTTGTGTTTCTGTCTCTCAATAATAAATAGACGTTAAGAAAATTTTTAAAAAGCTTTATTAATATTTAATTTACTCAACATAAAATTCTCACACTGTAAGCTTGCAGTTCAGTGATTTCTGGTAAATTTATACTGGCACCACAATCCAGTCTTAGAATATTTCCTTCACTCCAAAGGGTCGTCCCATGCTCATTTGCAGTCAATTCCTACCTCCAGCCCACATTCAAAAAATGACTGATATGATCACTGTTGCTATGGGTTTGCCTTTTCTAGAAAGTTTGTATAAAGAAATCAATTGGCCATAAATGTAAGCTGGGTTCCTTTTTTTTTTTTTTTGGACTCTACTGTGTTCTTTTGATCTCTATGTTCTCAGTAAAGAAAACAAACCAATACCATACTGTCTTGATGGCTATAGTTTTATATGAAATTAGAGTAACTCCTTCAGCTCTGTTGTCCTTCAAAATAATTTTGGCTATTGTAGATACTTTGCCTTTTCATATAAGTTTGGTTAAACTGTATGAAGAATCTTGCTGGGCTATAGATAGCAATTGCATTGAACATATAGGTCAATCTAGAGATACTTGCAATATTAACAATAATGAATCTTCCAATACACAAATTATATGACATTCGTTTATTAGGTCTTCTTTACTTTTTCTGTGTAATGTTTTGCAGGATAGTTTTTAATATTTACTTTTTTTTAATGTTTATTTTTGAGAGAGAGCACTATGTGCACGCACAGGCAGAGGAGAGGCAAGGAGAGAGGGGACAGAGAGGCTCTGAAGCCGGGTCTGTGCTGATAGCAGAGAGCCCGATGCGGGGCTTGAGCTCACGAACCATGAGATCATGACCTGAGCCGAAATCAAGAATTAGTCACTTAACTGACTGAGCCACCCGGCCGCCCCTTTAAGTCTTCAATGTATAGACCTTGCACATCTTTTGTTGACTACATTGAATGTAGGTGTGGATTTCTCTTTTTTTAATCTTAATTGGGGATTCATTGAGCTTTTGTAAATGCTTTTCATGAAATTTCAGGAGTTTGGGGCCATATTTTCTTTGAATATGTTTTCTTCCCCATTTTCTCTCTCTTCCCCTTCCAGAAATCCCACTGCACACATGTTGGTGTACCTGATGTTGTGCCAGAGATCTCTGAGTGTGGATTCACTTTTCTTCAATATTTTGTCTCTGTTCTTCAGATTAGGTCACTTCTATTGCTTGTTTCAGTTCACTGATTCTTGTGCCATTTTATATATCTAGACTTTTTATTTAATTCTTTTGAAAAGTGATGATTTCTCTATAGATGTTCCCTATTTGGTAAATTGTTGCCATCACATTTTCCTTTATTTCTTTGAACAACAGTTCCTTTGACTTAGTATGCACATTTGAAGAGCTTCTTTGGGGAGCCTGGGTGGCTCAATCAGTTTAGTATCTAACTCTTGATTTCGGCTTATGGAATGATCTTACAGTTTGTGAGATCAAGCCCTGCATTGGACTCTGTGCTTACAGCACCAAGTCTGCTTGGGTTTCTCTCTCTCTCTCATTTTCTCTCTCTCTCTCTCTCCCCCTCCACTCCCCCAATCTGGCTTGCACTCTCTCTTTCTCAAAAATAAATAAATATTGTTTTAAAGAGCTTCTTCAAAGTCTTTATCTGCTAAATTCGACACCTGAGCCTATACAGAGTCAATAGACTATTGACCATTTTTTCCCCCTGAGAATAGGTGACACTTTTGGGTTTTGGTTTTTGTTTTTTGTTTTGTTTTGTTTTTGCATGTCTTATACTTTTGTTGAAAATTGGACAGTTTAAGGGCACCTGGGTGGCTCAGTTGGTTAAGCGTCCAACTTCAGCTTAGGTCACGATCTAATAGTTCATGAATTTGAGCCCTGCATCAGGCTCTGTGCTGACAGCTCAGAGCCTGGAGCCTGCTTTGGATTCTCTGTCTCCCTCTTTCTCTCCCATGCTTGCATGTCCTCTCATGCTCTCTCTGTCTCTCTCTCAAAAATAAATAAACATTAAAAAAAAAAAGAAAGAAAATTGGACATTTTAGATAATATATTGTAACAACTCTGGATTTTGATTCCTTCTTCAAGAATGTTGTTGCCAGGGGCACAGGGGCGGTTCAGTCAGCTGAGTATCCAACTCTTGATTGCTGCTTAAGTCATGATCCCAGGGTTGTGGGATTGAGCCCTACATCAGGCTCTGCACTGAGTGTGAAGCCTACTTAGGATTCTCTTTCTCTCCCTCTGCCCTTCCCTTGCTCACATGCTCTAAAATTTAAAAAAAAAAAAATGTTGTTGTCGTTTTGAAAGTAACTTGTCTGGACTTAAATTATAGCCTCTGTCTGTTGTGACTGTTGATGTTTCTGCTCTGCATTTTAATTCTGATATTTACCATTAGCCTACCTTCATAGGGCTTGCCGTGTATCTGCATAGGTTAGGGGTCAGTCAGTGATTTGGGCTGCTGGTGAATAAATCTGTGTATGGGTTGGGGAATGCATTCAAAGTCCAGTCAAAGCGAAATCTACTTTGACTTTCTCTTTATTGTGAGTCCTCTCAGATTTTCCTGACACATGTATGGTTTCGCAATCAGCCAAGCATGTTTGGAGAGTTTATTGAGATATTCTATAGCTCTCTCACTTTCAGGATTTTTCTGTCAAATTTCTGACTGTTCTACTGCTGGCCATATCTAGGACTATAATCCCAGGCCAGCAGAGTGGTGGGTTTTCCCCGTTTGTCTCTTGCTGTGTCCATTACTTTTATTGAGAGTGCTGTTAGCCTGGATTTTCATCTGCTGTTCCAGATAGAGTTCACCTCCTCTGGCAACAAGATTCTGTTCTTCAGAACTACTACTGTGAAACTACTGCACTGATTGATCTGAGAAGGGAGTTGGGAGCAACCACAGACAAGAAAGCTGCAAATTCCTCTTTCACCCAAATGTATAGCTGTTTATGATGAACAAACCTTCCTCAATTTGTTGTGTACTCTGGTTGATTTCCAAGACCCTGAAATGGTTGCTGTTGGCAGTTTTGTCCAGTTTATATTTTGGGGGTAGGGGAGAAGATCTGCCAACCTCCCCATGCCATCACAGCCAAAATTAATCTAAATCTAAATTAATCATAATCACAGTTCATAGTTTGTATATTACTTATTCTTTGAACTTTGAGATTTGCTTTATGGGCAAGTGGTCAATTTATTATTATTTTTTAAAAATGTTTCTTTTTGAGAGAGAGGGAGACAGAGTGTGAGCAGGGAAGGACAGAGAGAGAAGGAGACACAGAATCCAAAGCAAGCTCCAGGCTCTGAGCTATCAGCGTAAAGCCTGATGCAGGGCTTGAACCCACAGAAGGTGGCCAATTTTTATAAAGATTCTACCTATTCTTGAAAAGATAAAATTCTCTTAAGTTTTTGAGGGCTATTTGATCAAGCTTGCTAATTATGTCGTTCAAACATTCCAAATCTTTACTAAGTTTTCATCTGTTTGATATGTTAATAATTAAAATAGAGTGTATTAAAATTCCCTGCCATCACAGAGAAGTTATAATGTTTGCTTTACAATTCTACTTTACCTTAATATTATCTGGGTCCTGTTAGGCTCAGAAATCTAGAATTGTTCTATCTTCTTGGTGAGTTAAACCTTTTCTGAATATAAATGACCTTCTTTATCCCTAATATTCTTTTGTCTTAAAGTTTATTTTGTTTACAATTTGCATAGTGATACTAGCTTTCTTTTAATTTGAATTTACTTGATATATTTCTTTACTATTGTTTTACTTATCCTGTTAGGTAAGCTGGGTTCCTACTCCCTAATCTGATTATCTGTCTTTTAACTAGTCGTTTGGTCCATTAACATTTATTGTGATTATGGATATATTTGGGCTTGTTTCTACTGTCTTCTTTTATATTTTCTATTTTTCTCACTTTTCTTATGCTTATTTCTTTCCTGATTTATTAAGATTTTGTGTTTATTTTCTTATTCCATTTGTTTCTTGCTACAAGTTTACATGTTATATCTTCTGTTTGTATTATTGAAATTTGACCATTCATGCTTAAGTCTAATGTTAATCAGTATCTTGAGACTTCTGAATAATACATGGACCTGAGACCACTTTAACTCTGATCATCCATTCTGAAATACAGACTTTCCCCCAAATATTTAAATATCTTGTTTTTAATTCCGTGAATTATGCATTATTTTTATTGTATTCCAAAGTTTCCCAATCTTGGCACTACTGACATTTTAGGCCAGATAATTTTTTGTTGTGGAGGGTGACAAGACTATCCTATGCTTTGAAGGATGATTAGCAGCATTCCTGGCTTCTACCCAGTAAGATGCCAATAGCATACTTAAATCCTTCCTAGTAGTAACACAAGTTTTTTTTCCAAATATTACCAAACATCCCCTTAAGACAAAATTGCCCCCAGTTGAGAATCACTGTTATATACAATATTTATTTATCTTTATATATACATATATATATATATATATTTGCTCACTTCTGCATTATATATCTTCCCTTTAGAATCATTTTCTTTCTTTCTGATACATTTCTTATTTCCTTTGGTGAAAGATTATTGGTGGTAAATTCAGTTTTAGTCCACTCTTATTCTCGAATGATAGCTCTGTTGGATACACAGTTGTAGGTGCATAATTATTTTCTCTCGGTACTTTCACCATGATAATTGTGAAATACAATTGATTGTATTTCAATTGTTAGTATTGCTATTGAGAAGTTTTCTGAAATCAATCTGTAATTATTTTGTAAGGATTTTATTTTTGTCTCTGGCTATATTCAGATTTCCTCTTTGTTTTTTGTTCTATAATTTCATTAGTGCATGAAAAGGAATAACATTTTATTTTGGTTCATGAATGTCTGGATTAATGTCTTCCATCGGTTACAGAAAAATTTCAACTCCGATCCATTGAATATTGCCTCTCTTCTATTCTCTTCATTTGTTCTTTCTAGTATTGCATTAGGTGTGTATTTGATCATAACTTGAGCCAAGATCAAGAGTTGGACACTTAACCAACTGAGCCACTCAGGTGCTCCTTAAGCACATATTCAATGTCACTAGCAAATACCCTCAACGTAAAAGCCAACTTCAGTACTTTAGGTACCTAAGTTCCCATCTTCACACTCAGTCCTTGACCTATGTATTTTCTCTCTTAATAGCTTTCAATGGGAATGTTGGTGTGTGCATGTACTTTACCATGTTGCTGGAGAGCCAACTTAATCCTCAAAACAGCTCTCTCATAGTATTATTTTTTTAATTTTTTTTAATGTTTTATTTATTTCTAGGAGAGAGAGAGCGTGAGCAGGGGAGGGTCAGAGAGAGAGGGAATCACAGACTCTGAAACAGGCTCCAGGCTCTGAGCTGGCAGTCAGCATAGAGCCCGACGCGGGGCTCAAACCCACGAACCACGAGATCATGACCTAAGTGAAAGTCGTACACTTAACCGACTAAGCCACCCAGGCGCCCCAGTATTATTATTTTTTTTAATGTTTATTTTTAAGAGAGACAGAGTGTGAGTGGGGGAAGGGCAGAGAGAGAGGGAGACCCAGAATCTAAAACAGGCTCAAGGCTCTGAGCTGTCAGCACAGAGCCCCACACAGGATTCAAACTCATGAACTGCCAGATCATGACCTGAGCCGAAGTTGGATGCTTAACCAGCTGAGCCACCCAGGTGCTCCTCTCATAGGTATAATTGCTCTCATCTCCCATATCATAAAAACATATGACATTGTGAAAGATGATATAATGTAGTAGAAACACATGAGTTTTGAAGCTGACCAACCAGGATTGAATTTTTACTCTTCACTTAGCTGTATAATTTTGGGCAACTTACTTAACCTCTTCAAACCTCGGTTTATCCATGTCATAGTATTCTTCATGGTGTTATTGGGGGCATTAATGAGAAATGCATTAAGTACCTAGACCTGAATAAATGAAATCTGCTGTTATCATGGTTCTAACTGTTGGTCAAGAGTCAATAACTTGCCCAAGGTCACTCAACTAGTGCACTGCAGGGCTGAGATTTAGTCTTAGGTCTGTGGTTCTAAAGCCTATATTTCTTTATCTTGTTTAAACAGTATTCACAGAGGAAAAAAAGAAAAATAATTCACAGATCTTTCATACATTTATCTGGTATTCTATCTAGTCTACACATATTTATTTATCTAGTAAAAATTTTTTTGTTTGTTTTCTTTTTGAGAGAGAGAGAGAGAGAGAGAGCACAAGCAGGAAGGAGCAGAGAGAGAGACACTGAATCTGAAGCAGGCTCCAGGCTCTGAGCTGTCAGCACAGAGCCCAATGTGGGGCTCAAACTCATTACTTGAGCCAAAGTCAAACACTTAACAGACTGAGCCACCCAGTGGCCCTGATCTATACATATTTAAATGGCTAGTTTCTTTGGTGAATAGAAAAAGAGTTTCAACACTTGATCTCACATATTGCTAACTAGATTTTGATTCCCTCAAGAGCAATTTGTACTTAGTGTAATACTTAGATACTCAGGCTTTACAATAAGGAAGACCTGGATTTGTGTCCTAGCTTCTCAACCTCTAGGAGCCACAGTTCCTGGTCTGTTAAATGGAAATAATATTAACTTCCTAATAGGAATATTTTGAAGGTAAGATAAAAGAAAATGCTACATTTAGAAAAAAAGGTCTAAAACATGGTAAATGCTCTCAAATAGTAGCTATTGTTAACCCCAAAGGCAGAGACTAGTTTCTACACTTATTTGTTCTTCTCAATAGTTCAATCAACCAATAATTAGTGTCTGTGCACTAAAGAAACTGTATGGCAATCCACCTGTTTGATACTAAACAGGACATTAAATTAAAAGGACCTTAAATTTGATCCCTTACAGCCAGAAGCTTATTAAGATAAGCCATTCTCTTATGGCCGGTATAAGCAGAGAAAGTCTCTATTTCTGCTTTGGAAGATAATTTCCTCTTTCCCACAAGGAAGAAAAAAATTCAAGAAAAAAAACCCCATTTCCTTTTCAATGGCTTATAAAGACTAATTGCTCAAGCTCATGATATAAAGAGATAAATCTATGGAAGGATTCACCCTCTCTAATAATCAGGAAAAAATACATAAATAAAATTCAGACTATAATTACCTCCTTCTTTTGTTCTTCCCCAGCCGCTTATAAAACACTTTGTGTTTCGGTCCAGTTTTTGGAAAACATCAAAAGGTAGACAAATAGGCTGAATATAGTCGTTATACTTCACAGCTTTTTTTAAATGAAAAAGCGCAATATCGTTTACATAAGTTTCCAAATTGAAGTCTGGATGGATAATGATTGCTTTAACTTTTATCCTTTTGGAGTATGGGTGACCTCCATGTATGTTATTAGTTCCGATCACAGCTCTCCACATTAAAGGATCTCTGAAAGAGAATAAATGTTGTTATAAACATGTTTATTTTTTTCAATCTTTGTTTATTTTTGAGGCAGAGAGAGACAGCATAAGCAGGGGAGGGGCAGAGAGAGAGGGAGACACAGAATCCGAAGCAGGCTCCAGGCTCTGAGCTGTCAGCACAGAGTCCGAAGCGGGGCTTGAACTCACGGGTGGTGAGATCATGACCTGAGCCGCAGTCAGATGCTTAACCAACTGAACCACCCAGGCACCCTATAAACATGTTTATTAAGTAAGTATTCTTAATCTCCCACTAGTTTTTGTTTTTCTCGGGTTAATCAGAAGAATTGAATCTTACTTTCATGTACGTCAAGTCACATCAAATAAAAGCCAAAATATCATGATGTAGGGAAGGAGAAAAAGATCAATGGGACAGAGGCTCCAAAAAACAGATTTAAGGACATGAGACTTTAATATATGATTAAGGTAGCACTTCTTAACCAGTGGACAAAAGAATGAATTATTCTATAAATGGTACTGGGACACCTAGCTAAACTAACTAGTTTGAAAAGTGAAATAAAATTAAATCTCTGAAAAACATTAAAATAAACTCAAAATGGATTAAATATTTAAATGCAAAAATATTTTTTCAATGCAGAAATCTTTTAAATAGCGTCTTCATTTCTTTTAGAGATATAGAAAGTGGTATGTGTGAGATTTGCTTCCAGATAATTTAAGGGGGAGGAGTTGGTGAGGATAAAGATGAAATAAGATCAGGTATGAATCGATAGCTTGAAGCTGGGTGCTAGGTATATGGAATTCACTAAAATATCCCTTCTACTTTTGTAAAGTTTTGCAATTTTAGAATGAAACATTTGGATATTAAATTAGCATGAGAAGTATAAAAAATGAGAAAGAAAATGTAGATGAATACACAGCATTGATAGGAAAAAGGACTTGATCAAGCATGATACTAAATATATAAAACAGGATGTACTTACGGATTTTGAGAATCTTAAAAAAAAAAAGAACAAGTAAAAAACCAACCCAAAAAATCTTCTGTAGGTCAAAATCAACAATTAAAACCCTAAGCATTTAATAGTTGTTACATCTGGAATTGGACTGGGAAGGAGGGCCTTTTACTTTGTAAACTTTTGTTTACAAATGGTGAAATTCCTTTTATCCTTCAAATTGGCAAAGTGCGTGTGTGTGTGTGTGTGTGTGTGTGTGTGTTTGTGTGTGTGTGTGTGTATAATGCTCAGGATAAACAAAAGTCACAAAAACAAAGGACCTCTTATTTATGTGGAAAGTATAAACAGATGGGTACTTTGCCAGCGGTATCAATAGCCTATAAAAGGTTGCATTGTATTTTATTCTGCAATTCTACTTCCTAGAATTTCTCCCAAGGAAATAGAAGATATTTAGCTATCTTAAAAGTGGATTAGGTAACCTCTAGAAAGTTTACCAAAAAATTTTGAAGCCCAAGTTGTATTTTGTGTAAAAAGAAATCATTGCTTTAAGCTACTCTGAAATAATGATCTTTCTTTTCTTTTCCAAACTTACTCAATTTATATTCCTTACTTCAAATTATATTCAGACCATAAGATTACAAAACAGGCTGTAGGGGGCGCTTAGGCGGTTCAGTTGGTTGAGCATCCAACTCTTGATTTTGACTCAGGTCATGATCTCAGGGTCATAGAATTGAGTCCCACATCAGGCTCTGTACTGAGCATGGAGTCTGCTTGAGATTCATTCACTCTCTCTTTTTCTCTCTCTCCCTTCCCCCCCCTTTACTTCCCCCTGCTTTTCCTTGCTCTCAAAGAATAATAGTAAAAAAAAAAAAGAAAAAAAACCCAGGCTGTATACACTGAACACTGTAAAACATTGCTGAAATTAAAGAAGAGATGAATAAATAGAAAGAGAACCTGTGTCCACGGATTGGAAGACTTAATATTGTTAAGATGACAATAACTACCCAAAGAAATCTATAGATTCAATGCAATCCCTATAAAAATCCCAATGATTTTTTTGAAGAAATAGAAAAGCCCATCCTAAAGCCCTACAGAATGTCAAGGGATCCCCAAGTAGCCAAAATAATCTTGAAAAAGAAGACTCTAGTTGGAGGACTCCAATTTCCAGACTTCAAAACTACTGCAAAGCTACAGTAGTCAAAATAGTGTAGTGCGGGCAGATACACACACACCAAATGAAAAGAATAGAAAGCCCAGAAATACACCTTTGCATATGGGCTCAACTGCTTTTCAACAAAAGTATCAAGACAATTCAGTGGGGGGAAAGGACAGGTTTTTTCAACAAATTTTGCTGGCAAAATTATATTGTACATGCAAAAGAATGAAGTTGGACACTTACCTTACATCACATGCAAAAATTAACCCAAAATAAAGGCCTACATATAAAAGTAAAACAAAAAACTCTTAATGAACACAATGGAGAAAACTTTCATGTTATTGGATTTGGCAGTGATTTCTTGGATATGACACGTAAAACACAGGTAACCAAAACTTAATCAGTTGGACATCTTCAAAATTAAAAACTTTTGTGCATCAAAGGACATTATCAATAGAGTGAAAAGACAAGCCACAGAATGAGAGACAATATTTACAAATTATATCTTTGATAAGGGATTAATATCAAGAATATAAAAAAAAAAACTTCCTACAGCTCAGCAAAAATCCCAATTAAAAAATGGGCAAAGGATTTGAATAGATGTTTCTTCAGCAAAGATCTACACATGGGTAATAAGTACACGGAAAGGTGGTCAACATCACTTGAGAGTGATCACTTCTCATTCAAGAAAATGTAAATCAAAGTCATAGTGAGGGGCGCCTGGGTGGCTCAGTCAGTTAAGTATCTGACTCTTGACTTTAGCTCAGGTCATGATCTCAGGATTGTGAGACTGAGCCCCAAGTTGGGCTGCATACTGGATGTGGAGCCTGCTTGGGATTCTCCCTTCCTCCCTTCCTCCTCCTCTCCCTCCCTCCCTCTCTCTCTCTCTTATCCTTTACCCCTGTCCCCCTCCCCCGCTCTTGCACTGAGAAAAAAACAAAAACAACAGCCACAGTGAGATATACTTCACACGCATTAGGATAGTTATTATAGTAGTAGTGTAAGTGTTAAGTAGTGTCAGTGATGAGCTAGGCATACGGAGACTGATATTCTGAATCGATTTCTAATCAGTGTGGAGTATTGGAAGACAAGAAACAAATTGAAGAGATATTATGCAGAGAGAGCTAACTCTGGGTAATGGAGCTGTTAGTGATGGTGTTATCTGAAAGAACAGAGAAGGCACAGGGTTGTAGAGGAAAGTTTTTTTTTTTAATTTTTTAAATGTGTTTTACTTATTTCTGAGAGAGAGAGAGAGAGAGAGAGCGTGAGCAGGGGAGGGTCAGAGAGAGAGGAAGATACAGAATCCAAAGCAGGTTCCAGGCTCTGAGCTAGATGTCAGCACAGAGCCCGATGCAGGGCTTGAACCCACGAACCGTGAGATCATGACCTGAGCCAAAGTCGGACACTCAACCGACTGAGCCACCCAGGCGCCCCGAGCAAAGATTTTTTAAATTCATTTTCGAACTTGTGAGGACGGCAATCCAGTAGAAATGTGTAATAGGGAGCTGGAAATGTGGCTCACCTGGGGAGACTTGGAAGTGTCCAGTACATGGCGACTGCTGAAGCAAGTAGATGAGACATTCTAGCAAAGAGTACAGATGATAAGGCAAAAGGATAACAAGTGGAACTCTAGAAATATTGCCCTTTAGACGGTGACAAAGACTTGTCAAGGAAAAGGAGGAAAAAGATGGTGACTTAGAAATCGTTTCAGGAGTCTGTGACTCCCTCTCTCTCTGACCCTCCCCTGCTCACGCTGTCTCTCTCTCTCTCTCTCCTAGAAATAAATAAATATATTAAAAAAAAAAAGAAATCGTTTCAAGGAGAGCGGCGGTCAACTTTGCCACAAGTTATAAAGATCAAATAGGAGGGGCGCCTGGGTGGCTCAGTCAGTTAAGCGTCCAACTCTTGGTTTGGGCTCAGGTCACGATCTCACAGTTCATGAGTTTGAGGCCCATGTCAGACTCTGTGCTGACAGTGCAGAGCCTGCTTGAGACTCTCTCCCTCTCTATGCCCCTCCCCTGCTTGCACACACTCTCCCTCTCTCTCAAAAATAAATAAATAAACTTTTTAAAAAATCAAATAGGATGGGGACTAAGAAGAGGTCGTTAGATTTGGCATGGAGGGCGATCCTGAATAGTGTATTTGGCCACAGAACTCAGACTGCAATTGGGATTTTATGCGTCAATGCAGAGGAAGCAAAACGGGGTCACTCAGGGAGTCTAACAGTGACGGGAAGAACAGAAACAGGTTGGGTTCCTTGGTAGGTTGCTTAGGTTTTTACATAACGGTGGAGTGACCCACACATGTGTGAGCACTATAGGGAAGAAACCAGAGAGAGGTTGAAAAATACTAAAGAAACCCTGAGGCATAATGAAAAGGCACAGGTCTGAGAACTGGCTTGAAATCAGGGGGCTGCTACTTAACAGCAGTGTGAGCTCGAGCCAGTTACCAAATCTCCCTGCTCTCTGGATTCCTTACCTGTAAAACAGAAATAATAATAGCTATCTCAGAGGGTTACTGGGAGGGATTGTTTTTTAAACACAGAATTATATTCAATATCCTTAGACAGTACGTAATCTCAGAGCAAGTCTTTTATCAATGGTTGTTTTAAGGAGGAATAAGGGATAATTGATGGTGCAAGGTAAATAAGGAGGAAGTGGAATAAAAAGTGGCAAAGTCAGTCCTCTGACAGGAGGGCGCTCTGAAAAACAGAGACCACGCCTCAGTGACGTCTGCACCCCCAGCCCCCAGCCCAGCCCCTAGCATATAACCTATATCCAGTAAATGTTGAGTGCAGAAGTAAAACCATCAATGAGATTTAGTCTTGAGATATGTTAAGTGGAATATGAACACTATCTTCAAATCATTGGAAGAGGAACTGGGTTCAGTATATCTGGCTTCAGAAAGCAGATAAAAAACCAAGACCCTTATTTTAACGTAAGAAAAGGTGTCTAAGAATTAGAGCTGGCCAAAAAAAGAAATGAGATTCTTCCCAAGGTAGCAGTCCATCATCATAAGAGATGTTTCGAGGAGAGAGCCATATGGTATGTAGTTATGGTTACATGTGTGGGTTTTCATTCTGACAAATCTGGATTTGATCCCTCATTTTGTTGCTCTAGCCGTGAGCAAGGTCCTTAACGCTTAAGCCTCAGGGTCTTCCTACAGCAAAGGATGGTTGTAAACAGTAGTAAAATTAAGTAAGAAAAAAATGCCTGTTATTTTTTCGGCAATAATTATTTCAGACTCAACAGCCCCTTACTTCAATATTGTAAGAAGGATTCAGATACAGGACGGAGGATTGAACCAGACCTTTAAAATGCCTCTTTGAACTCTAAGATTCTATGACAATACAACAAAGCTATATTATTTGACCAAGGTCATATATCTGGTAGGTTTTGGAAACTTTCTTAAAGCCTCTGCACCAGAAGACTAGGCTACAGGTGTCCTCGGTCTAAACTCACTATTCTTCCTACTGTGTCAAAGGACTAGACCAGTAAAAAGAACAATGTTAGAAGTCGGCAGGCAAGAAAAGCTTTTCCAAGAATCTTTGAACCATACCAAGCAGGTTTTTCCTCCCTTGATTCAAGGTCTAAATGCTGTTGAAAAGCAGTTTTTAAAGGTAGCATGTTAAAAACAGTTGTAAAGCACTCGCCTTTGAAAGTACAGAATTGATTCTAACTGTGACGCTTTTTTTCTAGATCTCCACCCTTGGCTTATACCTTAGTACCTTACTATTTTTCTGCCTCTGTTCCTCAAAAGGCCAATTTATGGAACTGAAATGCATGTTTCAAAAATTGAGTAGACAGGGGCGCTTGGCTGGCTTAGTTGTTCTCAGGGTCATGAGTTCAAGCCCCACGGTGGGCAGAGAGGTTACTTTTTAAAAATTAGTATACAGACTAAAACCTTATGTACCCCATCAGGCCAGTTGCCCTCAACCGAATTTTGAATTTATTAGTTCCTCTTAAAGACTTTTCATTCTTCTCTCTTGGAGAATAATTTCTCTTATAAATTAAAGACTAAAGGGAGACTGTATGACAGGTACCATCATTTCCCAGAAGATTTTTCTTAGAGCTTCATATTAAATGGTTATGAGGGTCATGAAGTTCTATTCTAACTGTGGTAAATCCTATTTCTCTAAGACTGACATCAACCATAGAATCAATAAACATTTATTATGTCTTCTCTAAAGTAGGCCAAGACCTATATTAGTCCGAAGAATACAAAATAAAACATGTAGCTCTTGGTTAAAAACAACAACAACAACAACAAAAAACTCCTGATCCAATCATGAGAAAGACAAACACATGGTTACAATATAATTGTAAAACCTAAAAGAAAATTGTCAGTATTTAAGGCAAAGTCTGACAAATTCCAACCCATAGTCCAAATCTGACCTGTTTCCTATTTTTGTATAGCCCGTGAACAAAGAATGTCTTTTATACTTCTAGATAGTTGGGACCCTCCCCCAATAGTATTTTGTGAAACTTCAGTGTTCATAAATATTTATCGGATCACAGCACACTTACTCAGTTGTATTGTCTGTGGCTACTTTGGTTCTATAGCGACAGAGTTGAGTAGCTGTGACAGAGTCCTTAAAACTTTTACTACCTTGGCAGAAAGTGTGTTGACCTCTGGTTTATAGGATTCACATCAACAAATATTCAGTGTGCTAAGCGTAAAGCATCATGGCTATTTGTAAACACACAGCTTAACTGAACATGGCTGAAATCAAATGGTCCTCTGTTATTTTAAAATATTCCCTAAGAGGGGGCGCCTGGGTGGCTCAGTCGGTTGGGCATCAGACTTCCGCTCAGGGCATGATCTCACACTCACGGTTCAAGCCAGGTGCTGGGCTCTGTGCTGACAGCTCTGAGCTTGTAGCCTGCTTTGGATTCTGTCTCCCTCTCTCTCTGCCCCTCCCCACCTCTCTCTCCTCCCAAAATAATATATTTTTTTAAAAAACATAGTTTAAAATATTCCCTAAGAGAATTTTTAAAAATAGGAATTGTGTTTTGAATACATACCTAATGTCCTTAGTGCAGTGGGCAGCTGTGAGGACCCACTTACTTTTCACTAAGCTTCCCCCACATACATGAGCAAGGATGTTGCCAGATTGGATCTGCAGGCTGACTAGCCATGGCCATGCACCAATTTGAGCTTCTGTGCCCCCTATAATGCGAGACCCTTTCAAGGCATCTGCAAGTGGTGCTGTTCCACATTCTAAAAATAAAAATCATATATTATTTGGACTGAACATCTAATAATATGCATTACTTCCTAATCTTAACACATTAAACGTTTAAATTCCTATTTAAAAGATGGATACAGCAAGCTGGACCCCTAAGTCATGCCCATCTTTTGGAAAAAAAAAATCTTAAAGGAGAGTTAAGACAAACATGCCTTAATCGATCACTTACAAATAGGCATTAAATCGACACGATTCATTAATTTTAAAACCCTATTCCTCAAAAATATAAAATACTGAGACTGGGTTCTTTGACCAGGTATCACATTGTTCCTTGTGCAAAATGGCAATTAAAGAGCCTGGGACTGGTAAATCACGGGCTACAGATTATAATACTTACCATTTAACTTGTTAGGTTAATTTTTCTCAAGGGTAGTATGAAAAGGTCACCTACGGGCCCTTTCAACTCTGAATCCACTAAATTATTAATCATTAAGGTGGGAATGGCAAACCTTAATGTTTTGAGGAGCGTACACAGATGTGCTACATAAGCGTATGGCCTTTTTGCTACGACGACTACTACCCCGTCATGCCTGGACTGCTTAGGTCTGTACATTTTAAAGGCTGTTGGAACAGCAGAAAGGGAGGGACCCAAATCCAAACACTACAGAAGTGGGGAAAATGCACGGGACACTGTCCAAAAAGAAGAATGAACGGATACTGCCCTCTCGGTCTGCTGCTCCCTCCTGCAGGGCCTGGTGTGCCCTCCGCCTCGCTCGTGGGACCCCCGGCCACCCCGGTGCAGCCGCCTTCTCCCACCAGGGGCCGCGCCCAGGCCTTTCGGAGAGCGAGGAGTATCCTGTGGACCGGAGAGCGCAGCCCACAAACAGCAGCGCGGCGCTCAGGAGCCCCAGCCCCATTTTGGAACTCCCGGTGCACAAGATGGCGGCAGGCACGTCCTGCCTGCCTGGGCCGTGGGCCGCGGCCGAGGAGACCGGTGGGCAGGTGGTCCGTGGACTAGGAGACCGGACGGGGGTGGGGTGCTCAGGGGGGCCGCGGCCTAAGAGATGAGGTGGGGTGCGCAGGCGCTGCACGGGGTCGGGGTGGGGGGAGGGCGGTGCGCCGACGGTCCGCGGCCTAGGAGACCGCGGTGTGTGTCGGTGGCCGCAGTCTTGGAGACTGGGTGCGTGGGCACGCGGAGTGGAGGCCCAGGCACACTGGGCAGGCCAGGGGCGTGGGGGCAGGAAGCCCGTGAAGCTGGTGCAGTGGCCCAGATGGGGCTGTTCCCGTTGGCGGCCCACTCACCTGAGGAATGCTGCCCTCAACCGGATATGAGCGTTCATTCACTGGCTAGATCCTCTGCGTTCTTCCAGTACAGTTGGGCCCCTGTTGTGGGAGGGGAGGTGCGGGGTCCCGGGGCATTGCTAGCTCAGACTTGTAGGGCCCAGAAGGCTTCCAGAAGTCAGGGCAGCTAAACTGAGGCACGGAAGCTGGGGAGGGGAGACGGAAAGCAGAAGATAGCAAGTGCAGAGGTTGGGATCTGAGGTAGTATAGCCACCAGGGAACCCAATTTCTGTGATACAAATCGATTTCATTGTTTTGTAGTAGTTTGCCTTCAAGTGATCACCTCAGGGTGAGCCGATAAAATCAAATTGCAGGACCACTAAAGTTAAGGACAAAGACTACCCGATGGTAACTGCTCGCTGGCTCTCTCTTTCTCTCACTCACTTCAGTCTGAAGGCTGAAAGGTGCATTATTCCTGGCCCCTATCAGAACCCCTGAGATGCCTTTTGACATTCCAAACATTGTGGGGAGAGGGCAAGATAAGTGGCACCAATTAATTGATCCACTGAACAAGTAGGTATTAACCTCACATTATGTACCCGTACTGAAAAACTGAAATAAATATCACATCCCTGGAGAGGTGTTAAGACCGTCCCTCTGACCCAGAGAACTTTGTAACTTGGCTAGCAGAGAAAATCACCTGGGGAACAAAGAAATAAACCATGACACTCAAACCTAATACAAATTCATACACAAGGGATTGGTGTGGGCTGTGGCAGTCTGGGAAGGCCCCTGAGGAGGGGGATGTGAGCTGGGCCTCGACTGAGGGGGAAGATCAAGAAGAGGAAGGAGATGTAGTAACGACCGGCTAGGCTAACCGTACAGAATAAACAAAGGCATGAACATATATCCATGCATGTTTCCCAAGAGAAACAGAACCAAAAGGGTATTTAGAGAGAATATATTTATTATGGAACTTGGCTCACTCAATTAAGGAGCCTGAGAAATCCCACAATATGTCATCCACAAGTTAGAGAACTTGGAAGACCAATGGCATCAGTCAGTCCAAACCCAAGGGGGTGAGAACCAGGAGCTCTGTTGTGGGAGAGCAGGAGAGAAGATGTCCCAAGTCAAAGTGAAAAGGAGAATTTACCCTTCCTCCGCCTTTTTGTTCTATTTGGGCTCTCAGTGGATTGGATTGAATGGCTACATTGGTGAGGGCAGATCTTTATGGAGTCTACCGATTTAATACTAATCTCGTCCAGAAACACTCTCACGGACACACCCAGAAATACTGTTTTACTAGCTCTCTGGGCATCCCTTAGTCTAGTCAAGTTGATACATCAAATTAACCATCACAATAATGATAATGTAAGTGTGTGTGTAATTTTATTACTGTTTTTACTGTTTTCTATCATCTTACAAACGAGAGAAGCCATGCCTTAAAATTGTTGATCAGGATATGTAAGAGAAAAATTAAGTTAAAGGCTTCTTCATGCTTTTGTCTTTGATTTTTGTTTGGAATCCAGAATCAACATGTATGGCCCTTCTTCCCTTTAGCCGTCATTTAATACAGTTTTTGGATATGCAGTAGTCAGCCTGGAGCTTGCCTCCTACTTAAGGGTAAAGGCATTGATTGCTCAGCAGAACTGAAGAGAAACTTTTCAGTGTGCAAAGGAAGCTGGGGAAGAGGGAGGAAAGAAGCACGCAGCCCAATAACATGGCAGAAGGCCAGGCCTGAGCCTAAAAGAGATCTAGGAGAGTTTCACTGTGGTGGGTTGACCCAGGGTCTTTAAGGACACTGATGATTTAATGTTTGGTTTTAAATTGTTTTCTTGTTGCTCTCTTGAGTTGTGCTGAAGGCTGCTTCTCTTAATCCCACACTGTCAGTAACAAGGGAACAGTGTGGGCTGTGGTTAGTCTAGGAGGTAGGTCACCCGGTGAAGAATTAAAGTAGGGGTCAGTAAAAGGACAGCCACCTTGCTCATATCATCTTTCTGAGGTCGTCATGGTTGGCAGCATTAAATCAAAAGAGGTATTGGGGCTTACAGGTGGTGACGCATGGGAAAGGGAACAGATCAGGGCTGTGCTGAAATCCAGGGGGGTAGGAGGTGGGCCATATTGGAGTGAAACAAGTTGCAGCATGAACTGACCCAGAGGCAGACAGGAAACAAACTTTCTGTTCTCCGAGTATCTTGGTGGAAAGTGATAATTAAAGGAGAGAAACACAGGGTATATTTCTGTGTATGGGGGGGATGTGATCAGACAGAGTATGGCTTTGAAAGCAGGTCAAATGACAGGTCTTGGTATGACAGTTAACAGGGATTCAACACATTCTTCTACATCTTCTGATCAAAACCAGGTGCATGTAGCCAAGTTACGAAAGGGCAATGAAAAATGCAGTGGGGCCAGCAAAGGTCCTACACCTGAGTTTCCTCTGCATTTTCTAGATTTTCACTCTTCTGTAACCATCACTTCCTTTCTTTGTGGGATCCCTCCCATCAGCAGACAGAGGTAGGCAGCTTCCCAAATGACCTCCAATACGCTGTCTCCTGGTAGTCACAGCCTTGTTTAATCACCACCACCACCGCCCCTCCCCCACCGCCTATAGGGTTAGCTGGATTTAGTGACATGTTTCTAGCCAATAGAAAGTGGCAGAGGGAATGGGCCATCCTTTCCAAGATTAGGTGATAGAAAGACTGTGACTTGTTCTTGACATTCTCTCTACCTATTGTGCTCTGAGGGAGGCTGGCTGCCGTGTTGTGAGTTGCTCTGTGGAGTGGCTCCCAGCAGTAGCCAGTGAGGAACGGAAGTCCTCGATTTGATGGCCCAGGAAGAACCAAATCCTACCATGCCCCGTGAGTGGGCTGGGAAGCAGATCTCCCCCTGGTCAACCTTCAGAGGAGAGCACTCAGGCTAATGCCACAATTGCAACCTCATCAGAGATCTTAAGCCAGAGGCACTCTACCAAGCCACACTCAAGATTCGTGCCCCCACAGAAGCCGTGAGACTGTTTTCTAGTGTTTTAAGGCACTGAGATTTTGGAATAATTTGTTATGCAGAGGCAGAGAATACATCTTATTTCTCCTACTTTTTTTTTTAATGTTTTACCTGTCCTTAGGAAGAATATGTGTGTGTTTTTAAATGTTTTATTTATTTTTGAGAGAGATAGAGAGACAGCGTGAGCAGGGGAGGGCGAGAGAGGGAGACAGAATCCAAAGACAGGCTCCAGGCTCTGAGCTAGCTGTCAGCACAGAGCCTGACACAGGGCTCGAACCCACAAACCACGAGATCAAACCCACAAACCTGAGCTGAAGTCAGACACTTAACCGACTGAGCCACCCACGTGCCCCTAAAGAAGAATATTTATAGTACAGTTTATGTACAGTTTAAAGAATAACAATACAAGGATACCTACTTAAGAAAAAACGTTATTGTTACTTTTGAATCTGCTGTGTATCCCTCCCTGTGCTTAATAACCACATATGTCTAGTGGTTACCATACTGGGCAGCAACGTTATAGAATATTTACATAACTGCAGAGTTCCTTTGGACAGCTCTGCTCTATACGGTATGTTTAGTTTTGCATGTTTTTGAACTTCATGTAAGTTGAATCATACAGTGAGTTTTCTTTTGCGGCTATCTTTTATTCGTATTAGTTTCTTGACTTTCATTCATGTGGTTATCTACAATTGTAATTCATTTATTTTACATACACCTACTGTGAATATGATACAATGTATTTATTTACTTTGGAATCCATTATTGATGGACATTTGAATTGTTTCCAGATTTTTGCTATTACAGCTACTACTGTTATGGGTATGAGCATGAGTTTCTCTGGACTGTATGCCAGGTTGAATTGCTGAGTCATAGAGAATACACACCATTACCTTCTCTAAGCAAAGTCAAATTGTTTTCCAAAATGTTGTAACAATATACTCCAACTAGCAACATAAAAAATGTTCCCATTGTTCGTATCAGCACCAAGTCTCTAATTTTCTACCAGTCTTGTGGGTACGAATTGAGAACTCATGGCTTCAATCTGCATTTTCCTGATTTTGAATGAGTTTGAGTATTTGAATATGTTTTCATATATTTAAGAGACATTCAGTAATTACCTCACATTAAGTGCCTACTTAGGTCTTTTATTTGTTTGTCTTATTGATTTCATTAACTGGAAGCCTTTAACCTTTTCATTGTCTCCATAGTTTGCCTGTTCCAGAATGTGACATAATTGGAAGCATACAGTATGCAGCCTTTTCAGATTGGCTTCTTTCACTTAGAAATATGCATTTAATGTTCCTCCATGTATTTTCATGGCTTGATAGCTCATTTCTATCAAGTGCTGAATAGTCTTCTGTTATCCGGATGTACCACAGTTTACCCTTTCACCTACTGAAGGACATCTTGATTGCTTCCAAGTTTTGGCAATTATGAAGAAAGCTGCTATAAACATCCCTGTGTAGGTTTTTGTGTGAACATAAGTTTTCAACTCATTTGGGTAAATACTAAGGAGTGCAATTGCTGGATCATATGATAAAAGTTTGCTTAGTTTTGTAAGGAACTGCCAAACCATCTTCCAAAGTGGCCGTACTGTTTTGTATTCCCACCTACAATGGATGGAGTCGCTCCACACCCTTGTTATTATTTGGTGTCATCAGTATTCTGGATTTGAGCCATTCTAATAGGTGTGCAGTGGTGTCTTGTTTTAATTTGCATTTCCCTGATGGCATATTATGTGAAACATCTTTTCATAGGTTTATCTGCCATCTGTATATCTTCTTTGGTGAAATGTCTATTAAGGTCTTTGGCCTTCTTTTTTGATTGGGTGGTTTTTATTATTGAATTTTAAGAGTTCTTTGTATATTTTGGATAACATTCCTTTATCAGCTATGTCTTTTGCAAATACAGCTGATCCTGGAACAGTGCAGGGGCTAGGGGTGCTGATCTCCTGCACAGTCAAAAATCTGCGTTTTACTTTTGACTACCCCCAAATTTAACTACTAATAGACTGCTGTTGACGGGAAGCCTTACTGGCAACATAAATAGTTGTTAAACACATATTTTGTATGTTATATATAATATATATTGTATGTTCTATATGTAATGTATATATACTGTATTCTTACACTAAAGTAAGCTAAAGAAAAAATGTTATTAAGAAAATCGTAAGGAAGAGAAAATACATTTATAATACTCTACTATATTTATCTAGACTGTAAGTTTACATCATTGATTTACAAGGCGAATCATCTGTCAGTACCTATATCAATACCGTACTATATGACACAAAACACAGTAGATGTTACACATATTCCTGACACTAATCATCAACAATGAAAATAGAATGTGAAAAATGCATATTTACTTATAGGTATAATGATTCATTCATTAATAACAAAGAAGCAGCAATATGATTGCTTTATGATAGCCTAGAATAATCAATAAGATTGCCTCACAGTAGCCTTGCCTGCACACCAACGAATTAATCACTATAAAAAATTTTTTGGCGTACAGTATCACAGTAATAATCATCACACAGGATCAGAAATACTGTTACGGTTTTAAAAAACCACGTACCTGTGATGATAGGCTGATGTGAAATTTCTCCAGTTACAGGAGAGAAACATGCTGTACAATAATACAATTCTTTGAAACCAAAGGTATAAAACAGTAAGAAAACTAACACATTATTAATTTTAAATATGCCTGCGTAAGGACAGGCTGTCTGCTTCTGTACAAGCCTTGTGCATGATGTTCCCCATGATGGACACTTAGGCGATGATGACGATGACCCGAAATGTCTCATGAGTTCTGCATGAAGACACTGACGTACATACACAACACACAAGTTTGTTTACTGGACAACATGGCGGATGATTGTTTACTATTCATTAAGTGGAGATAGCTTATCATAAAGTTCTTCATTCCCCCCACCGCCACCCCGTCTTCATTTTGACTAGGCTGACGAGGAGGGGCTGGTCCTGCTGTCTCCGCGTGGGAGGGACAGCAGGAGAGGCAGGTGCATGTGGTGTAACTTTCTGGAAATACATCGTAATTTCTGTCTTTTTCGCTTTTTCATTTCCCTAAAGATGGTTCCATACGCTACCAATCCTTCTTCCACCGTTTGCTTTAGTTTCAGTGCCCATGTCTGACAAGGGTCCCATCATAAAAGGAGTCAAAAGCAGTCTTGAATAATCAGAACCCTTCTGTCAGATTATTTAATGTCCATTTGTTTCCTGGCACTGCTTCTACATCTTCTCACTGTCTGGCACCGGTTCAGACGCACTCACCTCCGTCGAGTTGTCTTCAGCTAATTCCTCTGCAGTGGTATCTTAAATCCTCTGGGTATCCTCTGGTGTCTGTTAGCTCTTAAATTTCTCCAAAATCCATATCTTGAAACCCTTCACCCCCTACCTTTCTCGCTATATCCATAATCTCTTTCATGATTTGATTGGCTCTGTTGTAAATCCTGTGTCTGACATCTGGGCACAGTTTTCTCCGACAGCAAAGTATTGTTTCGTGCTTCGTGGCTTTCATGGCTTTTTCTATAACAACAATGGCATCTTCAAAGGTGTAATCCTTCGAGGCTTTCATGATGCTCTCTCTGTCAGGGTTCTCTTCCACAGTGTTGACAGTCCTTTCATAGAGCACAGTGTATAATGAGCCTTAAAGGTTCGTATCCCCTGATCTAGAGGCTGAATGAGAGACATTGCCTTTGGGGACAGGTAGATCACTTCGATGCCTTCAGTATTGAACTCATGAGGGGCATTGTCCGATATCAAAAGAACTTTATTTTTTTTTTTAATTTTTTTTTAATGTTTTATTTATTTCTAGGAGAGAGAGAGACAGCGTGAGCAGGGGAGGGTCAGAGAGAGAGGGAGTCACAGACTGAAACAGGCTCCAGGCTCTGAGCTGGCAGCCAGCACAGAGCCTGACGCGGGGCCCGAACCCACGAACCGCGAGATCATGACCTAAGCGAAAGTCGGACGCTTAACCGACTAAGCCACCCAGGCGCCCCTCAAAAGAACTTTAAAAGGCACTGTCTTACTGGCAAGGTACTTCCTTACTTGAAGGACACAAGCATTCCAGAAAAAGGTTCTTGTCCAGGCTTTCTTGTGTGATCAAAAGACAGGCAGCTGGTGTTTATCTTTTCCCTTTAAGCTGGGGGGTTAATAGCATTATAGATAAGGGCAGTTCTGATCAGAAACCCGACCACATTTGCAAAAGATAGTAGAGCTGGCCTCTTCTTCCTGGCTTGAATCTTGGTGCTTGCTTCTCTTTCTTACTCATAAGTGTCCTTTGTGGCTTTTTTTTTTTTTCAAAATGGGACATTTTAGCTGCATTAAAAACCTGTTCAGGCTGATATCCTTTCTCCTCAATGATTTTCTTTTTCTTTTTTTTTAAATCACATCTGGGAACTCCTCTTGCAGCCTCCTGAGCTGCTTCTCCTGTTCCTTGCTTTTTTTGAAGTCAAACCTCTTTTTAAAATGATCATACCATCTTTTGCTGGCATTCAATTCTCCAGCTTTATTTTTTTTAGTGTTTTATTTATTTATTTTTGAGACAGAGACAGAGAATCCCAAACAGGCTCCAGGCTGTCAGCACAGAGCCCAGCGTGAGGCTTGAACCCACCAACTGTGAGATCATGACCTGAGCTGAAATCAAGAGTTGGACTCTTAACTGACCGAGCGACCCAGGCGCCCCTAAATTCTCCAGCTTTATATCCTTCATCTCCCTTTTGCTTTAAGTTGTCATATAATGATTTTTTTTCTCAAATCATATTGGAGTCTATGGGTATGCCTTTCGTATAGTAGTCCCGCAGCTGCATAAAAGATGCATTTTCGAGAAAAGATTTCACAAAAAGTCCAAGGGTTTTTGCACCTGCTGGTGTATCTGCAGTGATGACTTCATGAATTTTCTGTTTTCACAGTGCTCCTTCTGCTGGATTCATTTATCTTGAAACAGGCAATCAACAGCCACAGACCTCAATCTCTGTGACATAGCAAACAATGAAACATTTTCTTGTAATGCCATGACTTTTCTCTGCTTCTCGGGAGCAGTCCAGCATCGTTAGTGCCATTCATATGGATCCCATGGTGTTATTCAAGGTTTACAGTGTTGCACCAAACATGATGAAAAATACTGAGAAGCGTGGGAGGTCCCTTTTGACTGATAAGTTTAGTGAAGAGACCAGCTACTCATGGGGGGAGGGGGGTGCTTTGCATCACATGGTGTTTTAAGCGGATACTTGAGCTCACTGCAAGAGTAACAGGCAGTAGCTATGAAATTTACAGCAATACAGCGTATACTGCAGTTAACTTTATGCAGCTATGATTTAATACTGCATCTTTATGTTTGTTTACATTTCTCTTCACTGAATGGCACAAGTACAGCCTGTATGTGCAAAAGTTTGGAGAGCTTTACCTTTTTATAATAGACTATATTTTATGGTAATAGATGATAGAATAGTATCCATATATTTTATGCATTTATGACATAGCTTTTTCTTAAATTTGTTTATATTCTTAGGCTAAGTGGTTTATCTGCACCTTTTTTTCAAATTGTCAAAAGTCTCCAAAAAATATTCCAATGTATTTATTGAAAGAAATCAGCATATATGTGCATTCCTCAGTTCAAACCCATGTTGTTCAAGGGCCAGCTGTATTTTCTCTGGGTCTGTGGCTTGTCTTTTCATTGTCTTCAAATTGTCTTTCACAGAGCAGAAATTTTTAATTTTAATGAAGTCCAATTTATCAATTCTTTCATCTATCGTGCTTTTGGTGTTCACCTAAAGTCATCAACAAATCCAAGGTCATCTATGTTATTCTCTTGTGTTCTAAGGCTTTTATATACCTCTGTGTTTTTACATTTATGTCGTGATCAGTTTGAGTTAATTTTTGTGAAGGACGTATCTAGATTCCTTTTTTTTCCCCCATGGGAATGTCCAATTGTTTCAGCACCACTTGTTGAAAAGACTATCTTTGAGGCACCTGGTGGCTTAGTTGGTTAAGTGGCCGACTTCGGCACAGGTCATGATCTCACGGTTTGAGTTCGAGCCCCACTTCGGTCTCTGCGCTGACAGCTAGCTCAGAGTCTGCAGCCTGTTTCAGATTCTGTGTCTCCCTCTTTCTCTGCCCCTCCCCTGCTCATGCTCTCTGTCTCTTAAAACCGAATAAGCATTAAAAAAAAAAAAAAAAGACTATCTTTTTGCTTCATTATAGTGTCTTTGCTCCCTTGTTAAAGATCAGTTAACTATATTTATGTGGGTCTATCTCTGGCCTCCGTGTTCTTTTCCAATGATGTTTTTGTCTGTTCTTTTGCCAATACCACTCTGTCTTGATTACTGTAGCTTTATAGTATGTCTTGAAGTCAGGTACCGTTAATCGTCCAACATTATTCTTCTCCTCCAATATTGTGTAGTCTATTCTGGGTCTTTTTACTCTCTGTATAACATTCAAACAAATGTTTGAATGTTTGTTGATATCCACAAAATCTGGGATTTTGATTGAGCTTAGGAATCTTGACAATATTATCTTTCTGTCCATTAATGTGGCATATTTCTCCATTTACTTAGTTCCTTGATGTCTTTTATCAGAGTTTTGTAGTTGGCCTCCTATAGCTCTTATATATACTTTTGGTAGATTGATACCTAAGTACTTCATTTTGGGGAGTGGTTAATGTAAATAGGATTGTATTTTAAATTTCAAATTCCGGTTGTTCATGGCTGGTATACATGAAAGCAATCGACTTTTGCACATTAACCTGTATCCTGCAATTCTGGTGTATTCACTTATTTATTCCACATTTCTTACTGAATCTTTTGGATTTTCTGCATAGATAATCATGTCATTTGCAAATGAAGATAGTTTTATTTCTTCATCCCTGATCTGTATACTTTTGTTTCCTTTTCATATTTCACTAGGACTTAATAGTGCAATGTTGAAAAGCAGTGGTTGGAGGGGACGTCTTGCTTTGTTCCTTACTATAGTGGGAAAGGTGTGAGTTTCTCCCTAGTAAGTATGAGGATAGTTGTAGGTTTTTTTGTAGATATTTATCAAGTTGAGGAATTCCCCCTCTTGTTTACTGGGTTGTTGTTGTTGTTTTTTAATCATGAATGAGTGTTGAATTTCGTCATATGCTTTTTCTGCATCTAGTGTTATATGATGTTTCTTCTTCAGCCTGTTGTGATGGATTGGTTTTATTTTATTTTTTAATGTTTATTTTGAGATAGAGAAAGTGTATGCGTGAGCAGGGAAGGGGGAGAAAGAGAGAGAAAGAGAATCCTAAGCAGATTCTGTGCTGACAGCAGATTGGCTGACAGCAAATTCCGATGTGGGATTTGATCCCATGAACGATGAGATCATGACCTGAGTCGAAATCAGGAGTCAGAGGCTCAACCTACTGAGCCATCCAGGTGCCCTGTGATGGATTGATTCTAAAGTGTTGAACCAGCCTTGCATACCTATGATAGATGCTACTTGGTCATGGTTTACAATTCTTTTTATACATTGTTGGATTTGATTTGCTAATATTTTGAGAATTTTTGCATTTGTTCATGAGAAACATTTTTCTGTAGTTTTCTTAGAATATCTTTGTCTGGGAGGCATCTGGGTGGCTCAATCAGTGAAGCATCCAACTTCGGCTCAGGTCATGATCTCACAGTTTGTGGGTTTGAGCCCTGCATCGGGCTCTCTGCTGACAGCTCAGAGCCTGGAGCCTGCTTTGGATTCTGTGTCTCCCTCTCTCTCTGACCCTCCCCTACTTATCCTTTGTCTCTCTCTCTCTCTCTCTCTCTCTCTCTTTCTCTCTCTCTCTCACTTAAAAATAAATGTTAAAAAATTTTTTTAAAAAGAATATCTTGGTTTTGGATTTAGGTAACTCAAGAAATGAGTTAGGAAATATTTCTTCTCTTTATACCTTCTGAAAGAGACTGTGGAGAATTGGTTTAATTTAATTAGCATAATTATAATTCCTTAAGTGTTTGGTAGAATTCACCAGTGAACCCATTCAGGTATAGTGGTTTCTATTTTTTTTTAATTTATTAAAAAAAATTTTTTAATGTTTAGTTTTGAGACAGACAGACAGAGAGAGCGAGCGCGCGAGTGGGTTAGGGGTCAGAGAGAGAGGGAGACACAGAATCTGAAGCAGGCTCCAGGCTCCAAGTTGTCAGCACAGAGCCCGACACGGGGCTCAAACTCACGAATGGCAAGATCATGACCTGAGCTGAAGTCAGTTGCTTAACTGGCTGAGCCACCCAAGTGCCCCTATTTTTTTGTTGTTGTTTATTTATTTATTTTGAGAGAGAGAGTGCAGGTAGGGTAGGGGCAGAGAGAGAGGGAGAGAGAATCCCAAGCAAGGTCTGCACTGCCAACACGGAGCCTAACGTGGGGCCAAAGCCATGACTGCAAGATCATGACCTGAGCCAAAGTCGGATGCTCAACCCACAGAGCCACCCAGGTGCCCAGTGCTTTCTATTTTGGAAGGTTATTCATTATTGATTCAATTTCTATAATAAATATAGGTCTATTCAGATTGTCTATTTATTCTTGTATGCGTTTTGTCAGATTGAGTCTTAAGGAATTGGTCCATTTCAT